TTTTGGGTGAGTAAGACTTATTAAACTTTATGGGCTGTCTTCAGAGCAAGCATTCATAGGGTCAAGATGGCAGAGAAGAAGCAGAAGTGAGTGTGCACGGTAGTGAAAATTGCACTGACCTCCTGCTCCATGCCCACATAAGGGCACACAGTATATTGCCTGTGTGGTTTAGAAGACATTCTGACTCAATCATTCTCCAGGTCAGGGCCAATATTTCTGTGTTTCTTTCCTGCACATAAAGAAATGCAGATTTGGAGTAGAGGTGGTGATGGGTTAATGTATCAGCACCACAATTATTTCTGGTAGTATAATTTGCTCACATCCAGTCCAGAGAACGTAAGAGAAAAAGAAGCAGGGGACAGCTGTTAGGAACGTTGGCACTGACACCACCTCATCAACAACTAAATCGTTCTGAATCAGTCCCTATTTTCACATTTGTCCAAAGACAGTGCCCATTCCATCTGCACGGTATGTTGAAGCTTACGTGTTCAGTGACAATTCAATTGGTAAAAGATGGGACACTTAGAAGAGCAGTGAAATATCTGCTTAATGGGTTTTGAAGGGCTCCTCTATCTGCCACTGCTTCTCTCCTGCCCTGATCTGAAACTCAGCGGCTCCAGTATTTATAGGCAAGGCTGAGTCAAGTTATCTGGCTGTCCCAATCTACTGTGACCTTTCAGCTCAGCAGTTTGTCTTGGATAGCTCTATTCAGGACCAGCTATCCAAGACACCCACACTGCTTCTCGGGCATGAAAAAAGGGGTGGAAACAGAACAGACAAGGCACCAAATAAGACGCGTGGGTTTGGAGGTATATTCCATTTGTGGCAAATGAAAATGAATGTAGCCTGATCTTCAATTGCTTTTTAGGTGGTTGCTTGTTGTGATGTGCTATTAAGTTGTTTGTGAGATATGGCAACTCTATGAATTAGTGACCTCCAATAGGTGTTATCATTAATAGAGCTTCTCTGCTCTTCCAAACTGAAGGTCATAGCTTCCTTTATACAAATTATCCATCTCGCGGTTGGGTTTCTTCTTTTCCTGCTGTCAACTTTCTTTAGGGACCGGGGAGAAAGAATTGGGGCAATTGGGGGTTAAGGCTACAGTTCTACAATTCTTCTACCTGTAAGGAAGTCCTACCGAAATTCATGGAGATTACATCTGAATGAACACATGTAGGAAAGCACAATTAGTCTGCAAACCCACTCACCTGGGAGTAAGCATTATTGGCTTTTCATCTGAGTAGATCAGAGGCAGGTAGTGATTTTGATCCTTAAGGTCAAATTGCCTTCTCTGACTAATCCATTGTTATGGATGATATCAAGAGAGAAGGGATCTGCCATTAAGTCTTGCTCTCTTTCATCATCATTTAATCTCATCCTTCCCACTGCCGGTTTCTCCTTTCTTCAAACGGAGGGTGTAATCAAGTTCCATGGTCTCCCTCCCCTGAATGGAGTAAGTCTTTTTGTGCACCTTATTTTGTCCCAGTGGGAATGGAGACAATGCAGATTCCCATAAGAATATAGGACTCTGCATGTTAGAAAATCTACCCTACTTGTCCATTGAAGAATAATATCTCATTTAAAATGGGTCATGCAACAGATGACCCATTGGCTACCTGAAGCCCCTTAGCCTAACCCTCCATCTCCCCCCACAATTGGGCAGCAAACAGTAATAGATGCAGCACATGAGCAAAGCTTTGAAAGGGCCTTTTTTTAAAAAAGCCCTTTCAAAGCATTGCTGATAGCAACAATTAAAAAGAAATGCAAAACTTCCCTTCCTGTCTCCTCTAAGGGAGTGGAAAGGAAGCTTTCTATTTCTCAAGATCATTCAGCAGCTTTAACAAAAGGCCAGCTGGCCAACTGCTTTAGTTCAGTCCCAGCTACCACACATGCTGTAACGAACAGTGGCCGCTGACAGGGACCCAAAAATGTGTAGGTTGGTATTGGTCAGGGATGGGTTGGTTTGTGATAGCATACATCACAATGGGCAAGCAGGGCAGATATTCTAACATGCAGAGTCCTATATTCTTATGGGAATTGTGTAGCTGAAAGAAAGAAAGAAAGAAAGAAAGAAAGAAAGAAAGAAAGAAAGAAAGAAAGAAAGAAAGAAAGAAAGAAAGAAAGAAAGAAAGAAAGAAAGAAAGAAAGAAAGAAAGAAAGAAAGAAAGAAAGAAAGAAAGAGTAAACCAGCCTCTTCTCAACCCAGACCAAGATGTGGGACAAATGCTCATCTGATCGCATCCTGAAAAAAGGAGGACATGTTCTTCAAAGGGAGCAAGAGGAAAAATGGTGGCTTCCTTCAGGACATAGATATCTTACCCATTTGAAGAGGGGGGAAAAAGAAATAAAGTAAGTGTAAGCAGGCACTAAGGGGTTTAAAGGGGGGAGGCATTGAGGAGTTTGGGATTTTTTTTTTAAAAAAATCAGTATATGTATACTTTTGCAACTAACTCTCATACTGAGTCTCCATATTTAAGTCATATGAAAACAGCTGCTCTAAGCTATTTTGCAGTCAAAATAGAGTCAGGTGTCATATTGAGACTATATACTTGTGAGAGAGCTGACTGGATAGCCCAGTGAGTTAGCCAGAGGTTGGGAGTTCAATTCCCCACCATGCCTCCTAGGAGTAGAGACAAGTTGTGTGGTCTGCACGGCCCCACAAAAGGGAATGTTAAACCACATCTGAGTACTCTCTAAATAACAAACCCTGAAAAGTGTTGCCATGCGTCAAAATTATCTTGATTGCACACAGTTCATCATCATCATACTTGAGAGTAACTATTAAGGGCAACATGCTGATGGTGGGCGGGCTATTGTTAAACATAGACAGGGCCTTGCTTTCTGGTACCCCCTCGTGTCTCTGCTTCTTATATGTCTGTTTCTCCCTGCTTCTCCTTGGGTAGTTCTATGTGTTTTACTGAAAGATCTTCTGTTAAAATTTCTTGGCAAATACGTATATCATAGAGACGTGAAGAAATCATACTAAATTACATCTTATTGAGATGATCGGCTGCCTTAACACATTGGAATAGGACAGCAAGAGTGCCTTTTCCCCACCAGGGTCTCCACAATTTGTGAGGCATTTCTGTGCACAAAACAAATGGCTTTTCTTTTTTGTGAAGCAAAAGCACAAAAGCCTGGTGCATCCCGCAGGACCAGCTGACTGATCAGAAGGAAGGAAAATAACGTGTCTCCTGCAAAAAGGCAGCAGCGATAAAAGAAGGATGTGATGTGAGCTGAGTAATTGAAGGAGAATTGCCTGCACCATGGCCAAGTGCGAGTTTTAAAGGGAATACAGTCATACCGTGCAGTGTACCATTCCCTCCAAGGAGGTGATCTGAACACGCCCTGCCTGAATTCAGCAGCTGCCTGTCTGCATTTGCTGCTGGTAATGGCAGCCTCTGAATCTTTCATTCTCCCCCCGTGAAGCTCCTGTCTGTCTTTTGCCACTGGGAAATCCTTGGTGCAAAGCCACCCGATGAAGAAGTTGCACTTGATGTGGGGCTGCAATTCCCAGCCTCTCTCCTCTCTTGCCTGCTCCGTTCTGTGTCTCACAGACTGGCACCGTGAAAGGATGGGCTGGAGGAAAAAACCGCAACTCCTAAGAGATTGAAATGAGACCCAGGAACTAACCAATTATGTCTGAAACTCAAGTGGAGAAAGATGCCTCATCGTGTAGGAACTGCTCATCTGAAATGGAGCTGAACGGAACACAGGAGCCGTCTGGGAACCCTTCTGCAGATTACGATGAGGAAGAATTTCTGCGATACCTTTGGCAAGAGTATTTGCACCCTAAAGAATATGAATGGGCTCTGATTGCTGGATATATTATTGTTTTTCTTGTGGCTCTTGTAGGTAACATCCTTGGTGAGTACCATTTAGACTAGTTACTGTACTTCTTATATGTGCTTTTAAGCCATTCAAGTTGATGCGGGTAAACTACTAGCAACATTATCAACACCAGAACTGCTTTTGCTTTTAGGATCATACTTAGAAACAAAAACAAAACAAAAACAAAAACAAAAAACAAAACCAGTATAGAAGTTGCTGTGAGTATTAGCAAGGCATTCAGGTTAATGTCATCTTCTTAATTCTGTATATTCTGGAGGTTTTGTCATGAGAAGAACTTGCTTGCTCTTTCCTGCTGGGCTATCAATCCATTATAATTCATTTTGCACATATGGTTAGAAAAGGCATTGACAATAAATTAATTTTGCACTCCCTTCACATTGTTGTTTTGTTATTGTTTAGTCGTTAAGACATGTCTGACTCTTTCTGACCCCATGGAACAGAGCACGCCAGGCCCTCCTGTCTTCCACTGCCACCCGAAGTGTGGTCAAATTCTTGTCGGTAGCTTCAATGACACTGTCCAACCATCTCGTCCTCTGTCCTTCCCTTCTCCTCTTGCCTGCACACTTTCTCAACACCAGGGTCTTTTTCAGGGAGTTTTCTCTTCCCATAGGATGGCCAGAGTACTGGAGCCTCAGCTTTAGGATCTGTCTTTCCAGTGAGCACTCAGGGTTGATTTCCTTTAGAATGGTTAGGTTTGTTCTCCTTGCAGTCCAGGGGACTCTCAAGAGTCTCCTCCAGCACCACAGTTCAAAATCATCAATTCTTCAGCAGTCAGCCTTCTTTATGGTCCAGCTCTCACTTCCATACATCGCTACTGGAAAAACCATAGTTTTGACTATGCAGACCTTTGTCAGCAAAGTGAGGTATCTGCTTTTTAAGATGCTGCCTAGGTTTGTCATTGCTTTCCTCCCAATAAGCAGGCGTCTTTTAATTTCACGGCTGCTGTCGCCATCTGCAGTGGTTCACAATACCCTTCACAATACCATCTATTTAAAGGATTTCAATGCAATGATCAAATTAAGGCTAAAGTTGATACCCACTCTAGCCTGGGAGTAAGCTCAGTTGAACTTACTGGCACTTAGTTTTGAGCACTTGTGCTTGGGATTTTTCTGGAAGTATTCTTAGGTACCGAGTGTGAGAAATTGCCTGTTCAGGTACATGAATATTGTAGCACGTCAGTAACAAATGAAGAGTGCTCTGATTTTAAGCATGTTACATGGGAATAATTTTTAAAGGATTAGAGTACTGTCTCTTCTGCCCAAAGAAAATAATCTCTTTTTAAAGTTGCTAGGGACTTATCAGAAAGGGCTGAAACCTCTGAGCTTCTTTTATATTGTTAGAGGAAGGCAGTTCTGGCAATTGACCCTTGTGACTCCATTCATAGTGGCAGGCTCGTGAATGACTATTTCTACTTCCAGCGTCATTCATCTCATCAGAATTCTGAATGAAAGGCTGAAGGATGATGTGCTCCTGTAGAGCGAGCAGCTGTTCTTTGTAGTTTTCAGTACTGACAGCTCTCGGATCCTGGCATGTTAGATGCTTCCTAGCAAACTGGCAGAATTTAAGTGGAGCAATTCAGTGGAAAGATATGTGGGTTGCAGCCACTGGCAGTAATGGAAGTGAAATTATGAAGAGCCCTCAGCCTTTCCGATATGTGCCTTACTATATGCTTATAGCTAATGGGTTATGATGGAGGAAATTACATTAACCTCATCTTTCCTATTTTATACAGAGCTAAATGGGAAAAAGCACTACGACATAATCACTAAAATGATACAGACTCACATATCAAATCATGTCCCTTTAGGGTGGGCACATTTCAAGCTTGCGAAATCTGCTTTGTTTGTTTACTTAATTTCACTCAAACCTCAAGATCCACCAACATGAATCTGGTGCAAAACATACATATATTGAAATTCTAAGCCTGAGTATTCATTTTCAATAAGAGACCTCTCTGATCAGAGCACACACTCCTTTTGCGCAAAAGCCCACTCTTGGGCTTTTAATACAAACTTTCTTAATTTACAATTTGTGATTTTTAGGGCTGAGAGGAAGCATTATGTAGCTGCTATGGTTAAAGTTTCTGCAAATACAAAGTAGATCCAGATCTGCTGCCTGACCTCTGAAATGGGGGATATCTAAGGGAAAAGTAAAACACAGTTGGGGTGCTTTCCTGTTCCTTTATAGAAAAGAGTGATAGAAAATGGAAGTATGTGTGTGATGTACAGTAATTAGATTGAAAGAAGGCATAGACGTCCGAGCCTGAGAGACAGAGGGATGGGAGGGTCAGGATGGAGAAAGGAAATAAATGAACTGGCAAATATAATTTCCACGTTGAAGAAACCAAGAGGTGTTATATCTAAATGGGAGATGAGGAGGCATTCAAGATGAATAAGAGAATTCCAGATAATATAGCAGAGGAAAGAGAGGTAGTTTCAGAGGAAGACTCATTGGGCAAATTATATGAGGTGAGCACAGTGGTATCACAAGAAGTGTGTCAAACTGTGGTGACTAAGGTTAATAGTTTAGAATTAAATGATAAATTAGGGTTATAATGAGCTTTTAAGTAAAGGTATTTAAAAATGTGAGTGCCACATCATTTGATTATCTGTATTTATCACCTGTTCTCTGGACAAGAACTTAGTATTAGGACAAAATGTAGACACAGAATATGTCAGATCAAATCATCTGACACAGAATATGTCAGATCTCTTTATTTGTTTATTGTATGTGTTCTGCTCATACACTGAATTGGATTCAGATAAAGGAGGAGTGATAATTGGTGGAAGAAGGATCAACCATTTAAGGTATGCAGATGCTGGCAGAAACTGTCAAGTACTGGTCAAGATTAAAGAAGAAAGTGCAAAAGCATGATTACTGCTGAGCATTAAGAACATAAAAATCACAGTTACAGAAGAATCATGAAACTTTATAATCAAGAAATGGAAATTGAAACTGCAGTCAAAAAGTCAGTACAAGAATGAATGTTGGAAACTCAGGCATGAAGGAACTGGGGAAAATCCTTAAGTCTGATGACATTTCATTAGAGACCAAGACAATGATTATCCATATTATATTATTTCTGATTATCCTGAGGATCTTAACACTCAAGCAGGCTCATAAAGGGAGATGCAGTCCTTGAAACAGCTTGGGCCCAAGCTATTTAGGGCTTTATTGGTTTGCACCACCCTCTCTTCCCCCACCATCTCTTCCCCCACCCCATTGCCTTTCTTTTGAAACTCAAAGTATTTTCCATTTGGCCAGCAAGGGGGTGGGGGAGGCAAGGCAAGGCAGCCACTCAGCAAATTTCCACCAGAGAGCTATGACCAACATTTTAGTTCAAGGACCAGGGAAAGCCAGTTTTGGTCCAGTCATAGTCAAATTACCTTGTGGATTTTGTTTTTTCAGTATGCAGTGCAACGAGGCTGGTTTCAAAGATCCTCATTGCTCTCCAGGCAATGAGAGGTATCCTCCATAGTTCCAGAAAAATCATCAATGAATTTTGATGATGTAAATTGCTTGGTAGGTCGTTGTTTGAAGAGATGTGAAATAAACCCCAAGATGCTGCTTGGGGAGGAGTACACACACACAGAGAGAGAGAGAGAGAGAGAGAACTGAGGGAGATGGATTACCACTGAAAAAATTAAGTAGATTGCCAGCTTTTGATGGTATTGCTTGCTTCTGTATTTGTATCCTTTGTTTGGAAGGACCACTCTGCCTCTTAGTAATTTTTCCTATACTTCAGGGCAGCATCCACTTAAATTCTCACTTATTCTCCCAGAATCCTGGAGAAGATAAAATAGAATTGATGTTTCTGAAGACCATGGAATCACAGGCTGGTAGAATGACAGAAGGATAAATCCCCACAAGTCTCTGAGCGCAGCTTGCTCCTCAAAGCAGGAAATGCAGTAAGATGCATAATATTGGAGCTTAGAAAAGTTCTTTTTGTGGGCAACACCTCTCATCATTCCCCAGACATGGCTATGGATTTTCTGTTTTCTATGCAGTATTTGCAGGCAGCAGGGCAAGGACCAAGCATTCCCACGACGGCAATATGTCGAATCTTTCATTTACACTTCTACAAGTTTCTGTTAAATGCTGGATGGCTTCACTCAAGTCAATGGCTAACCATACAGACAGGCGCTTTTATCATAAAACTGTGTTGACCGAAACAAGGACTGCATGTTTTTCCTTATCTCTATAAGGGCTCAAGATTTACTCATCTTTTTTAATGGAAGTTTCAAATCTGGGTCAGTTGGTGGGCTACATAGGCACTGAGCAGCATGTCTACAATCTGGCTAAAACCTCGCCAAGTGTGTGATATGGCAGCTCATGGCAAAGATAAGCCCAAGACTGTACAATATTAATACTGTACTATGGATGAACCCCTCCTTATTTGGGGTAAATACAGTTAGGATTTCTCTCTCCCTTCCCTTCATTTTACTTACCATATTTGAATCCCGCCTGTTCTGCAATAAGCTCCAATCAACATGCTCAGGATTTTCCCATGTTTTATTCACATCAGTCCTATGATTAGGCTGAGCAGAAAAGACAGATGTGAGTTCATTCAAGGTGTGCCATGCCAATAAGAGGTTTGGACTATGATCCATGACGACTAGTGTGTGCACGTGTGTGTGTGTGTGTATATGCACATGCACCTACAGTATACAGAGATACTGTATGAGTGAGTATATGTGCATAAGGGCATATTTAAACACAATGAATCCCGCCTGTTCTCCAATAAGCTCCAATCAACATACTCAGGATTTTCCCTTGTTTTATTCACATCAGTCCTGTGAGGTAGATTAGGCTGAGCAGAAAAGACAGATGTGAGTTCATTCAAGGTGTGCCATGCCAATAAGAGGTTTGGACTCTGATCCATGTCCACTAGTGTGTACACGTGTGTGTGTGTGTATATGCACATGCATCTATACAGAGATACTGTATGAGTGAGTATATGTGCATAAGGGCATATTTAAACACAATTAATACTCATTTTTAGACTTACTGCTACT